CCCTGCTGTAGCAGAATCTGTCCGGACTGGTCACAGCAAACAGTAAGATTCTCTCTCCTAGGTTTCCAGTGTTTGAAGCAAATGATTTTTTTTCTTGTTGTTTCTTTCCTATATAAATGAGCTTATTCAGGAAGGAAAGGGTCTGTAACCCGCTGCCTTCACTAAATAGAAAATGAATAAACCATTTTAGTGTCGTGTTAGTTACTCCGGCTTTGCTCGGTGTTCGGTTTGTGATTTTGTACTTTGGCTGTGACTAAAGGGTTTGGGTTGTTTTCACATCTTTTTATAAAGTGCACATTGACAATGCCAGTGTTTGCGAAGAAGAGACCCTTCATTTCAGCTCAGAAATTCCCAATTGTTTGTTCATTTAATCCGTGTGATTTACCTGTAAAAGCCCCTCTTGTCTAAACATACAAAAGCACTAAGGCTGCTGCTGGGTGCCGCCATCTTGGATATAGAGCCAGCAGATTTAGAGCTGACACTCAAGTGACACTTTATAGCAAGGGTAGGCAAACTCCGGCCTTCAAATCCTATCATGCCTCTGGGAGTCATGCCTGTGGCTGTCAGTCTTCTAATGGGATTTTGTTGTTGCACCACTGCTGGTTTGGCTACCCTTGTTGCACCATGTAGCACCATGGTTTGGCTACCCTTGCTCTATACCAGCTTTTCTCAACCATGGTTCCTGTGCACCCTGGGGTGCCTTCTGGCTTCCTCAGGGGTGCCTCAAATTTTGTTATGTCAGAATTATGGAAATCATGATGCTAATCCAGGGAGGGTGGGATCCATTCAGAAAAGAATGGTAGTTCTCCTCTGTTCAGTATGCAAAATGTGTATTGTTTCCCCAGAGTGACCCCGTAATACAAATGAGAGTATCCAAAGGCTATCACATCCAATGTATTTCAAAACTCGATGATGGTCTGCAACAAAATAAGTAGCAAAAAAAGGGAAGAGAAGCCATTTATGCGTAGGTACTGCACGAGCTGGAAGACGTTACTGAAGACCGATCAACAAGAGTTAGTCAAAAAAGTATCTCTATTCAAAAATTGTATATCAAAATTTGGATCAGCTTTTTTCAATAACCAGGTTCAGTCTGACAAGCAGATAGTACACTAGGAGTTCCGCTATTTGAATACTAACCACATTATATTCTCCAGCATAGATGATTACAGCCTGTCTGTTTGTATGTATGTATGTATGTATGTGTGTGAGGAATCATGACAACTAGAGCTGCAGCTAACAGTTGTCAATCTTTTAGATGTGATATGGTGCAATATATATAGACTCTTTTTGATATACAATTTTTGAATAAAGATACTTTTTTGACTAACTCTTGTTGATCGGTCTTCAGTAACGTCTTCCAGCTCGTGCAGTACCTACGCATATACGGGCTTCTCTTCCCTTTTTTTTGCTCCTCTGTTCAGGCCTGCTCCGCCTCCCACCTTCTGCCATGCTGCTAGAGCTGCAGCTCCTCATATGAAGGGATGTGAAGAGAATGCTTCTGATATAAAGGGGTGTTCTAATGTTAAAGGGGGTGTGTCTGACGTAAAGGGGCTCTTGATGTAAAGTGCGAGGATGATGATGTGAAAGGGGTGGGTCTGATTTAAAGGGGAAACGCTGAGGTGAAAACCCCTTTTTTAAATGTGTTTGTTCTTGGGGGTATCTCCTTAAAATGGTATAAGATTTTTTTTTTTTACATTTATGTTTTTGAAATTTAAGAGTGTGTGCCTCGAGATAATTGTATACTTTTAAAGGGTTCCGTGACTGGAAAAGAGGAGAGAAACACTGCTCTATAGTATTCCCCTTCACTCCTTCCCCGGCAGCTGCATAAAAGGTTATGTAGGGAGGGGAGGTGCTTAGGAGCTGGGCCAGCACATGTAAAGAGGGAGGGGTCTGTACTAAGAAATTGACTAGTCACATTTTCTAGTCTGCAAAAAAGTAGTTTGCAAGTGAATAAAAAAAAAAAGCCACAACAAGTAAGCATTTGCTTTTTTCAGTGCTTTTACCTGCAGTTAATACATTTGGTGACAGTTTATTATTATCATGTACTCCTTCATAGCAACATACATTTCACGTGGGTTTACCTAAGGTGCCCTGTTTAACATATCCATGTTTGTTTGCATTGTTAGCTGCTGAGTTTGATGCGCACAACCTGTAAAAAGAGATCAGATCTAAATATCTCTCCATCCCTTCTTCTTTGAAAGTAATAACTAAAATAATGAGGCCAGTTTGCTTTGTGTAAAGTTTAGCATTGACTACACTTTAAAGGTAGTAGTTTAAAGCAGAGCTCTTCTTAAAAATTGGCTATGGGCTATCTGCTAGCCCCCACTTCCTCATGCAGAATCACTAGTGTGATGATTTCTAAATCATCCGCCCAGCCATACACTTCGCATGGCATTCGTGCCACTAGATGGAGCCAAGGAGCATAGAAAAGCATAAAAAAAATGGAAAAATCAAAGATTCTTACCTTAGACCCTGACGTCCAGCCTGCTCCCCCTAGACTCCGGAGACGTCATTGAGCCTCTTCACAGATCTTACAGGAACATGCACCCTAAACCTGTCAGTCAGTACCCCTGATTGTACCCACAAACTCTTGTTGATCGGTCTTCAGTAACGTCTTCCAGCTCGTGCAGTACCTACGCATATACGGGCTTCTCTTCCCTTTTTTTTGCTCCTCTGTTCAGGCCTGCTCCGCCTCCCACCTTCTGCCATGCTGCTAGAGCTGCAGCTCCTCATATGAAGGGATGTGAAGAGAATGCTTCTGATATAAAGGGGTGTTCTAATGTTAAAGGGGGTGTGTCTGACGTAAAGGGGCTCTTGATGTAAAGTGCGAGGATGATGATGTGAAAGGGGTGGGTCTGATTTAAAGGGGAAACGCTGAGGTGAAAACCCCTTTTTTAAATGTGTTTGTTCTTGGGGGTATCTCCTTAAAATGGTATAAGATTTTTTTTTTTTACATTTATGTTTTTGAAATTTAAGAGTGTGTGCCTCGAGATAATTGTATACTTTTAAAGGGTTCCGTGACTGGAAAAGAGGAGAGAAACACTGCTCTATAGTATTCCCCTTCACTCCTTCCCCGGCAGCTGCATAAAAGGTTATGTAGGGAGGGGAGGTGCTTAGGAGCTGGGCCAGCACATGTAAAGAGGGAGGGGTCTGTACTAAGAAATTGACTAGTCACATTTTCTAGTCTGCAAAAAAGTAGTTTGCAAGTGAATAAAAAAAAAAAGCCACAACAAGTAAGCATTTGCTTTTTTCAGTGCTTTTACCTGCAGTTAATACATTTGGTGACAGTTTATTATTATCATGTACTCCTTCATAGCAACATACATTTCACGTGGGTTTACCTAAGGTGCCCTGTTTAACATATCCATGTTTGTTTGCATTGTTAGCTGCTGAGTTTGATGCGCACAACCTGTAAAAAGAGATCAGATCTAAATATCTCTCCATCCCTTCTTCTTTGAAAGTAATAACTAAAATAATGAGGCCAGTTTGCTTTGTGTAAAGTTTAGCATTGACTACACTTTAAAGGTAGTAGTTTAAAGCAGAGCTCTTCTTAAAAATTGGCTATGGGCTATCTGCTAGCCCCCACTTCCTCATGCAGAATCACTAGTGTGATGATTTCTAAATCATCCGCCCAGCCATACACTTCGCATGGCATTCGTGCCACTAGATGGAGCCAAGGAGCATAGAAAAGCATAAAAAAAATGGAAAAATCAAAGATTCTTACCTTAGACCCTGACGTCCAGCCTGCTCCCCCTAGACTCCGGAGACGTCATTGAGCCTCTTCACAGATCTTACAGGAACATGCACCCTAAACCTGTCAGTCAGTACCCCTGATTGTACCCACACCATGCTGGGAACTACTGCTCCATATTCCATTACAAGGTTGTATTTTGTGTACTGCGCAGGACTTTTCAGTACATCATGCTAATCTCCAGCACCCATAAACTCCAGACCTCCACTTCGTTATTTTTTTGCAATGTTTTTTTCTTTTTGGTCCATTTTCCTATTCCTCTCAACAGTAACCGATTAGGACTCTATAAAGTGTGTCTGCACATTTGCTAAAAATTCTGCATTGAATGTTACCATGGTGACAACAGTTTCAGGGGCTTAAGGCCTATGATTTAGAGTTAAATCATAAACGTATAGAATGCAAGACGGCTTTCTTAATAAAAATGAACAAAAAGAATGAAATAAGGAAAAAAAATAGTGTCGCCGCACCCAGAAGGTTTTCCTTTTACATATGTCGATTTATAAATGATATTTATACAATAACTTTAGCTTTAAAATGGAAACAGTGAGCCCCACACCCCCCTTCAGTCTCTCTGACTCAGAGAAGGAGGCAACGAGCAGGGCCCGGAATAGCTCTGATGCTGTCATCTGTGGACAGCCACTGATTTTTCAGTTTTCGCAAGCTCACAGGCTTCCCCTAATCCTTTAGTCGTAGTGTGTTTCAGAGGTGGCCAATTGACCTCTGTAATCCTAATTTAACTGCAGGACTGGCTCTCCTGGCTTCTTCTCCAGCTTTTGAGGCTTGCCGTCTGCCCTGTGTGTCCTACCTCCCTCAGCTGTTCCTGCCTTCATCAGATCAGTTTATTCTTTTCAGGGGTTGATTTTATTTCTCTCAATTTCTTTTCCTTCTTCAGAACATTCATCTTTGTCTCCTGGGTTTTCATTTGCACTCTGTTTTCTGTTCCTGTTCTTCTGGGTTTTTTTTAGCTTTACTTGTTGTTGTTTTTTTTCATTACTTTTTACTAGCCTTACGTGTTGTATTTTCCCACATGTCATTTTTCTTGTTGTCATTGCCTTACCGTGTGTTTCTTTGCAGCCTGTGCACATTCTTTTGACTTTTTTGGTGCTCAAACCCCATACCTTCTTGTTTTGTCCACTTTCCCTGTGAAGAAGCTCAGATGCCAGAATGACCCCTAGACACAAGCTATATAATTCCTCTTTGGCTGCCCTTATTGAAGGCACTCAACGGCCTTTTTTGTTCCTTGTAACAGATTTCAACTACGGCACCGAACATTACGATGCTGAGGGCAACGAAGAGCAAAAGAGCTCCCGCGAGGGCTCGGAAACCATGCCTTACATCGATGAATCTCCCACCATGTCTCCACAGCTCAGTGCCAGGAGTCAAGACAGTGTCGATGGGGTCTTACCCACTCCAACTGAGGGATTACTTCCAGAGGTAAGAAGTCTTCAAAATAGTTTTTATGGTGATTTTCATTAACAATGTTGTCTTGCATTCATGCTTTTCCTATACCAAAAACTGCTTTGTACTACATCAAGTATTCCTTTACCATTGAGGCTGGGAAGCTTGAACTGGTGCAGACTTTGGTTTGTTTACATCACTGGTAGGTGGTAGAACCTTTTAACTACTGCCCCATATGGCACTCGATTGCAGTATTCCACGCACATAAAATATTTGGTGTTTTAGGCTATAGGATTTCAGAGTCTCTTCATTGCTGAGACTGGTTAAATCACTGAAATATGCAAGGTGGTAAGCTAGCAGTAAATGTGCAGTTTCAGATCTAGTGTACAGCATGGTTTATTTAACCCTTTACCATTAGAGACGCAGTATTCTGCACAGCACCGTTTATGCTCATCAATGACTTTGTCTAACTGGTTGTCTCCAACAGTCCATGACGGTACACTTGAGTGAAAATCATTCACCTGGATAGGGAGATGAAAGAAATAACTAAATACCAGACCCTTCACATTATATTACAGCTTTTCTGTGAAGGGTGAAGGAGTGGGAGTTCAGACCTCCTAAGGAAAATGTATATTTTGTCATTCATGTGGAAAGGGGGGTACAGATATTGCTTTTGATGCCCCAGTGGCGTTGGAGACCAGAAGCAAGGATGGCTGATGTTGGCCCTTTGCCTTCCTGAATTTATCCAGAGAGGTGCAAGCTTTCTGAGGCCCGTTGGGTCTGGGGCTTAGAAGTGCAGCTGTTTCTTGTGTCTGATCTCCCTGCCATCTAGTTCTGTTCTGGGTGGTTTATTCAGTGTCTCCAGTACCATTTTTCTAGCTTGGAACTCAGAAACATTTTCTGTTCCCGGTGGTGCAAATTTTAGGAGGAATGCGCTCACAACCCCCATATGCTATGGATGATTGGTGTTGTGTTTGGTCCCCAGCAGCCAAAGCAACTGCAGGTGGGGGCAAAACTTGTGTAGCTTTCAGTTTAGTGTGCTTTTAAGTATAAATGGTCCTCTGATTTTTCTAGAGAGTTGGAGACAATGTCATATTCTGTAGGTTCACTCTTATTAAAATCAGTGGAGTTTTTAAATTTTCTTCTTTTTTAAGACATTTTATCCTTAAAGTTGCTATTATGGCTGAATCCCAACGTTACAGAGTTTTGTTATTTTATCTGATTTTTTTAAAAAGAATACAATGAAATAAAATGAATAAAAGAAAATGATTAGATGTGATAACAGAATAAGAGTCTCCTTAAAAATCTCATAACTCTATGTTAGATGCCTCTGATTCAGAGGAGGGGGCTGTGCAGTGGGATGATGACAATAACTTGATGAGAATAACTAACAGTAAAGTTTTTATTCTGCCTAATGAGCTGGAAAAATTACTCAGGGCTACACAGGTAACCGTTTAAGTTGAGAATAGCAACAATTACCCTATCTGTGGAAAACCAAGTGTATGAAGGACTGGATAGTCAGGTATGTGCTTACAAATATAAATAGAGTGTATGTAGGATTTAATAATCGGAGACGACCTCATTTGTTGGTGTGAAGATCTTGTTCTAGAAGCTGTTTCTTTCATTCTGAAAGTTCTATGTTCTGACCTAGAGAATCCAAAATCTACTGTATATGCCTGGTTTTAAAATCTCTGAAGAATGTCCCTGTTCCTAATGAAGATGTTGGGACCCTTTAAGCACCTTATGGACACACAGAGTTAGATGGGCTTAAAGCAGAGCTCCAGACACACACTTAAATTGTCAGAAATAGGCTAAGGCTTCATTCACACTGGAGTGGCTGTCTGCGCATATTCGGCTGTATGAATACGCGCAGAGCCGCTCTACACAGAAAAAACAATGCACTTTAATGTGCATTGTTCAGACTATGGCAGGGACCCCAAAATAGTCTATATATAATAGCCTCAAACGAGCAAAGTCCGTGCAGTTCACATATAGCGTTTGCATCCAGTGCGGTCTTCCACATGGAAAACCGCACGGGAAACGCAAACGCTATATGTGAATGGAGCCTAAAAGTTGCAGATGTTTATATGATAATGAGATCATAATTTTGAAAGTACAATTCGATATTCAGAGTGCTGTTATATGTCACCATCTATGAACCATGTGACGTATTACTTAGAAGCAGGCTTTCTATCAGGGGGTATGTCAGGAAAAAGACTTGCAGTGTACAGGAGAAATTCACATGGTATTCATTGACCTGTTTGAAAGTTCTGCAGAAAAAAAAATATTAGTCTACTGTTACTTCTCAGAGCATAGGCTGCTTATGCACAAAACACTATCCAATTTTGTGGATGGTGGGCAACTAAAGAAATGTGTTTTCGCTGAGTATGGATTTCAGCTTTAAAGCGATATTAAAGCTTCATTTTTCTTATTTTTATAAATAGAAGTCCTTTGTTGTTTTTCATTAGAAATGTTCAGTTCCTTGTTCTCTAGTGGGTCCCCGCATAGCTCTTCCTCCTGCCCCTTGCACGGCTGCCTCCATCAGCTAAGCGGCTGCTATGGAGGCTTCCGTGGGTGCTCGTTCCCTGCCATGCCTGCGAGTGGTGTGTGCATCCATAGACACACACAGGCCCTACTCTCTGCCCAGCAACTTGATTGATGGCAGACAGAGCCTTTGGCTCCTCTGCCCTCAATCTCCTCCCCCGCAACCAGGAAGTTCGGGACGGAGGATCGCTTCAGGGACTGGCGGCGGTGACATTGGTAAGTGTGGGGAGGGCGACTAGGGACACAGAAAGGTAGTGTATGTTTTTTTTACCTTAATGTAGAGAACATATTATGGTAAAAAACATGATAACCAGCTGCTATTGTGTTAAGACATAAATTGTTACTACCACTCTAGCTAGATTTCATAAAATTGGTGTATCCCAGCCTGTAAAACACTTCTTGTCATAAGGTTAACTCCCCAGCAACCTCACAATTACATAGCAATAGAGACCTTTTGTTTTGGAATTTTTAGAAAGAAGCAAGTAAAATGTAAGCAGCAATTTTCTTTAGTTATGCTATGTGAATGGGAACATGTAGCAAATCTAAAGTAATTAAGAGGCTGGAGGACCAAAGCGATGAGACAAGGTTGCTAAATTTAAACTTGTTCACGCTGGAAGTGAGGACATTAAGAGGGGACATGATTTTGATGTATACAATGTTTAGTGATGATGGCAACATCAGCAATAAACTTTTTAGTGTAAACTCACTTAAAAGACTAAAATTGGTGGAGAAAAGATTTATACACAAAGGGCGTAGGGGATTCTTTTCAGTTGGAGCGGTTACATTTTGGAACTCTCTGCCACAAGCAGTGGTATCAGCTGAGAGTATTGAATCATTCAAAAATTAATTAGATACCTTCCTCAGAGACCATAACGTACAGGTACTCTTAAATACTAGACCACACAGGGACTCTTATACGCACGCATGCATGCACAGCACACAGGCCACAAAGGTTGGACTTGATGGACCTGTGTCTTCAACCTCAAATGTAACTATGTAAAGTAGGTTTTATCCTAATTTGGTGACCAAAAGTGGAAATTAATCTAAACATGTTAAAGCTATGCATCCAAAAAGAGGGCATCATGGATCTATTTTACAGGGCAGACATTTTCCACATATAGATCTTTTTGTAACCAGGTGGAACAGCTCGAAAGTTCTCACTGAGCCTCAAATGCTCCCTGAAACGCATGAATGGCCTTAGACAGGAGTGACACAATGCATTTCTCACTGTGGCTATTTGTGCTTGTGCTTCTAAACTTAGGTGATCAGGAGTTGAACTATTCTGCCCCCCTAATATTGCTGAAATTCTTGATTTCCAACACCTTAGACGTTCTGGATGCATCCTTAGCACTTTTTTATGAAGAAAGTTTGGCAGCACAGTGGTGGAGTTATGTAATTTATTAGGAGTAGCATCCAACATTAGCCCCAAAAATGAGTTCATGATCGCTACCTTGGACCCTTACATGGATTGTATCTGGTCTGCTATACACCAGTTCAAACCTCCAGACAGTGACTCTCAGTTGGAAGACTGCTCTTCTTCTAGATATTATTACCAGAGGAGAGTAGGAGAAATACAGCCCCTTTATTTGGTTAGAAAACCTAAGAGGCTCTGTCAAACCAAAACTGATGAGAGGTATGAAGGGGCCAGCAGTTCCTGCTTTGTTATAATGCTGGGATGGTCTGACAGGCAATCCTTTGGCACTACCATTGCACAGGCAGAAAGTGTGGAGAAAGCTTCAGCTCCATCAGAAAAGGTTCGGCATTCACCTAAAGCAGCAGGTAATGAAATTTGCTACAGGGTGCCTGCCCTTCATACTTTATTACCATAAAGTTTCTATTTGACTCTTTGGGGAATCCACAGTATGAGCAGGAAAAAAAGATGTCAGCAGATGCATCCTTAGATATGTTTACTAGCACAAGGATAAAATCTATCCGGACCAGAGTTCCACAGAACCATTCTTAGATGGAGCAGATTATTGTCTTCATTTTTCACCAATTACCAGGCCTTCTCATCGTCGTCTTAGCTCTCATTCTCCTATTGTACATTGTTTCTCTGTTGTGTAAGTATTATTTCTCTTATTGACAAGACATCTGCACCATTATCAAAGCGTAGGAGCTAGAGGTCTTTTTGGAATGGGACCAAGATTTCATCTAAAAATACTTGCTTCAGTTTTCCACCCCTGGGGTATTCATCTGGGTTTCAGGTATGACGCAACAACGTTGAATGAAAAATGAAAGTTCCCTTATACATTAGTTTCATCCTAATTATGTCAAAAACACAGCAGGAATCTAACCAATCCACATTCTATCCAATAGGTCTTCATTGATTGCTTTTTTGGTTTTAACTTTATTCTTCTTTCTTGGTGTTCTTCCTGTTCTCAGGTATTCACTAAGATGTATGTGGTTTACATTCCTGTACCTACCCAACTGGTTGGGCCCATTGGGTGTGCTATCACTGAGGTTTAGGTTCTTGTTTTGCTCTTTAAATTCTTCATGCTG